ATGGGCTAAGGACAGTCACACCACTGGAGAGCCAAAATGTAAAGAGGCTTACAGTACAAGCAGAAATTCCAGTCAAAATATAATTGTAATGCAAGGGAAGATCAGAAGTAGAGGAAAATGGCAAAGACATGTATAGGAAAGGCTGTAAAGTCATGAGATAGAAACTAGTTTGGTAACTGAAGTGGACAGAATACGTGTGGTTGACATTTAGCTCAGCCATGTGTGCTGATATGTGTCTGCGAGAAACGAAAGGCTAAAGGATAGTTCTTAGTGAAATCACATAAACTGTCCATGTCCACATGTGTAAAGGCAAAGTTTGCACTGGACCACCACACAGCCCTGTTGATAAAGAAGCAATACTATATCACCAGGTACAACAAAAAATATATGCTACAGTATGATTTGTACACAGTATCATATTACAGTTATATTGGAGAGCTTTTAATATAAATGATCAATAGGCCTGGTTCCTGAGCCCTGCTGTCTGTACATCTGGATGTCTGCCACCTGAGCCTGAGTGGCAGATGTGCTGTTCAGCTGATGCTTTTGTACATGCATGGGGAGGCATTGATGTGCGAAAGCATTAAAGGAGAAAAATAAGTGCTTGTATAGCCCACGCACATGCAGCCCTTCCATTCGTAGCTGATAAGCATCACACATCACGAACCAGCAGATTGATCGCAGGTGTGCCAGGCTTGGGTGCAGGGCAGGGGAGGAGTGGGGTTTCTATAGAGGGTCAGGGAGCTGATAAAAAAAAAAATCACATCTGCATTAAAAAGCCATCTCCAGGGTTATAACACAGAGCCTGCTATTTCAGGGATGCCTATTTAAAGGCTGAAGTGTGGGCTTTCCATGCTGGAATAGCCCTGTGCACCATCTCTATTATTTATTAGCCTTGCTCTTCCTCCACCGGTTTACCAGTGTGGGGGTGGGGTGAGTATGGCAGTCATCTCCGCTGCTTGAACAACATGGGCTTAATGATGTCACAGGCTTGACAGGACTCATGGGGCTGGAGGCGAGGGCAATGACATTATAACATAGGTATTCACTGAAGCTTCACGCCGTAGCTGTAGGTTTGAATGGTGCTGGAGGATGTCAGTCCCTCTGTTGGCATCATTACCTCTGTCATATCAATGAATCACTCCCAGCACTGGGGGAAAAAACAACGACATGGGAACACAGGTCAGTTTTTTTTTTTTAAAAAGTGGTATCTTGTCTCATTAGGTTAGCTGATTACTGTAGTTACTGCAATAGGAAACAGCTTAGTTTGGCATTTTAACCACCTTGTTATGTATTCTCTGTTGTGTGCGTGTGTTTGTGTTTGTTTAACTGAATAATAAAGAACTGGATTATTAGTTTGGAGCCATTAGGCAAAAATAAAAATTCAGAAAGTGGTCAGTCAAATCATGAAATTTTAACCTGCATTTCTTGTCCTAATGGATTTTGTTGTCTTTTTCTCCTTGTTCTGGGCAGCAATTTGCTGAATAGTGCCGTTGGATCTTATGCATCCATGCATTGTACAGCATCACCGTTGAAGTGGGTCTTCCCCCCAACCCCAACCACAGGGGAAGTGTTGAGCAGATTGCTGTTTGGCAAACCAAAATAAGGAGAAGAAGACAACAAACTATAGGCTGGGCCTACCTTCTTTTGTAATGCACACTGGCTGACAAACAATAAAATAAAAAGGTTTAACTAGAGGAGTCTCAGTTGACTTGCATGTCTCTTGACTAATGATATGACTAGTTTTTTCACTAGATCGTCAGATTGATCTGAGTTGCTCGCATGTAAAAGGACAAAAACCCAGTGACTTAAATTCCTGTTGAATATTACCAGTATAGAGTGGAATTGAAGAATGTTGAAATTAATCAGTATCGACTGCCCTTTCAGCTCGTCCTTGGGCTTCAAATCTAATAATCAGTAATAGTACATCAGCACTTGCATTTGTATTTCATCCTTTGTGTAAAATTCTAGCGTATGGATGTCAAACAGATTTCTGCCTGGTTCTGAGACCCTTGCAACTTGTATGGTTAGAGATTGTGAAACACACAGCAGGGCAGTGCCACTCACTTGTTGTCTATGCTTAGAAGCCAGAGTTTTGACAAGACCTGATTTACAGCTTAGCTACCCATCTAAATCACCACGCCTCACATTTCCTGTCTGTGACCTTCGCTCATGTTACTCCCTCACTCATTTTTCTTTTGTGGTTGTCACCAAGGAACCGTCAAACATATGTTCAAGGAGCCATCTCCTCCCTTGGCATCTTGTGTATGGATTTCTTTTTAGTATGCACCCCAACCCTTCTTTCCCTTGTTGCAGTAATTAGACCTGCTCCATTTAAGCCAGCAGCGTCATGCTGTTAGTGGACAGTCTTAAATAATGTGTGAGTGTCTGTCAACACTTGACAAAGGAAGAGTGAAAAACAATAGCAAACCATGTCTGCTAGGGCTCTGTGTTGGGATGAGTATGAGTGCACTTCTTGCCTCACGTGTCTGTCTTGTCTGACAGTCTGGACAGTGACAGATATAGTTGTGTGTTTCCACTGAAGCAGCTTTTTACATTTGTTTATGTGCTGTAGCTAATCTGCAGCCTCTCTAACAGTAACTGGCACATGCACAATGCGGATTACCAATGGCAGTTTTTCTTTACATCCAGTGCAGAGCGGTAACTAGTTTGCCTGCTTCTCTATGTGTTCTGTATCTGCATATGTAAGCTTACTGTGAATTTTCTAGGTGTGGCTGATTCTTCCAGTGTGTTGACTGTTACAGGGGTGTGGGCCTCTTAGAGAAACCATGTTTTATGTATGAGGGTGGGGCCCATTGGGGGGGTTGTGTCAGTGGACATACAACTGCCCAGCAGACACCATGACTACTTGGCAAAGATGCACACGAGAGCTTCTATAGGTGCAGTTTCTCCTCCATTCTTCAGTATTTCAAGTGCAGTTTTGTTCCACATTTCCACATCCCCAGTGTTTCCAATTTACAATGACAGTACAAACAGCAGCATCCCTGAATGTGTACATCTTTAGTTGAGATAGTGACCTCCCTCGATCAAGAGTCTCTCTAAACTCCCTGCTGTAGGATTCCTAGCTGTTTCACTGCACCTAAACCCTCTGCATTAATAGTGGTAGTCTCCTAGGGCAAATAGCTGTTTTTGTACTAATATATTCTAGGGCTTGAAGTTCACTCAGTGGAAACCAATGTTATCTAAAGGACATGCAAATAGCTGTTTTTGTACTAATATATTGGTTTGGTGATAAAATATTACTTATGTCTCTGTGCCATGTGAACTTGTCAGTGAAGCTGGCTTAAAACCTTTTATGGTTGTGAGTCCCAGGTGGAAAAATTGCAGCTGGACCGTTATATGGACTTAGGCTGAGTTACTCCAGTAAGAGGTTCAGCTGTTTAAGTGTGATCTTTTAGTAGAGAGGCAAAATAAAAGTGGCACAACTTTTGGGGGTGTTTTTTGAGGCAGAATAATGGAAACAATGAAAATGCCATCTCTTCTCACAGAGAATTCAATGTTTAGGCAAGTGAACTTTTACTACTGGGCGAATAGCAAATTAGCAGTTTAAATTTTCATCAGAGCTCTATATACATCCATTCAGGGAGCTGAGGTCAAGTTGCGCTGGAGATTGCCACACTTCTCATTAAGCTCTGAAATGGAATGAATAATCACTGCTTTAGACCACTGACACAGCCACATTGGTCGAAAGCCACTTTATATGAGTATCTCACTCTCTGTGTGTCTCTCGATGTTTTGGTCATTAAACGGAATATTTGTAGTGTAGTTTTATTTAAATACAGACATTTTAAACTGCGCTGTGTATTAACCCCTTACAGCAGTGTAAAATAATCACGAATGATACTTCAGTATAAACGATTCAACCAGAAATAGTAGTCAGTAAACAAATAAAACTGACTATCCTCAGTGCAACATAAAGACACACTTGTGGTGTGGGAGCAATAATATGCACAAACACACACACTGAATTTTAGAAGCTGGGAAAACAAAAGACAATAGATTAAGGGCAAACAGACCACAGCTAGGCATGTTTCAGGCATAAATAAGCTTTCTGAATAGTGCTGCTCGCTGGTCCTGTAATTAATGAATTAATGCAAGCTACAGGTTGCGAAGAATGGGAGGCTATGAAATAATTAGGGATCCGTCCCTCTTGTTATGCTAACAGTGTTCAGATAAGTCCTCTTCCGTCCAAGTTAATTATGGTTGACATTTAAATGAGTACACTTGTGTTGAAGAAGTGGGAGAACTGTGGAAGGAGAGGGCCTCTTTCTAATTAAGTTTGTCACTGGCTCCACATTTGGTGCTGGCTTTGTTCTGCAGGGAGGAGATATGTGAAGTGCAGCTGAATGAGGCTCTCTGTAGGGATATTGATACTGGTTTTGCTGTGTGTGTGTGTGTGTGTGTGAACATAAATTCATATAAATGTGCCTGATATACATACTAAGTGATAACATATGGCAGGAAATCCATATGGCAGGCCTAATCTATAGAAACAGTATGTGTAGAGATCACCTTCAGCAGCTGATGACTGTGCTTTATATACTGTTCATCTGTCTTCTCTTGTCAACATGGGCCCAGGACATACAAAGACAAAGAACATATATAATTAAATGAAACCAAACCATAAATATCATAGTCTCTGTATTCTGTAGTTGTTTAGATTAGAGTTCAGCCAAAACCTGTGGCCATGCCAGCTAGATAGACCCATCTCTGACCCACTAGTTTATCCGGTACATGTAATATACCTATTACCTATTTTACCTGACCCTTGCAGATATAGCCTAATGGTAACAGACAAGAAAACCATATCAGAACAACTGTCTATATCTAGCCAATAAACCTGATTACACTGATTATGTAAAATCTTTTTAAAATGAAGCCAAGAAGTATCTGAAGATCTATGAATGCTGCAGAACTAGATGCTATAGCTGTGTTGAGATATGTGATTACCTGATATCCCCCTCTCCCTCCCTTTTCAGCAATGGCAGACTTCCATGTCCAGCCAGAGTCGGTGCATGTTGAGGAGTCCGGTGTGGCTAGATTCCAGTGTCAGATCCATGGTCTGCCAGAGCCCATCATCAGCTGGGAAAAAGACAACCGGCCAGTGGACACCCAGGACGACAGGTTTGATCAAACCACAGCACAGTTCAGTTCAGTTCAATGCTTTACTGCCATTTCACCGTAGTTGGTAGGAATTCACTTTGGTGAGCTCACAATTAAAACAAACCAATACAAATGACAGCACAGACGACAAACAATGCTAAGTGTCAAACACAGACATAAAAGAAGACAATAATTTAACGCCAATGCATCTGTCTTCACACACACACGCACACATTCACATCTATATTTAAAAGAAACTGATAAAATAAAATTCAAAAACCTAATCAATGCTCATAAATAACAACCAAGTAAAATAATCATGTTATAGAGTTATAGAGATGAACAGCTTCTGGAAAAGTGCTATTTCTGAACCTGGTAGTTTTGGTTCTAAAGGCTCTGTCTTTTTTTGGAAGGAAGGATGTTTCAAAATAAGTGAGCTTTTGAGATTTTTACAAGTATTTTTCTGAAGCCTGTCCGGCATAGATTTCTGCCAAGGTCATTTGCTACAGCATCTTCTGTTGTGGTGTTTCCATACCACAGTGTTATAGCAAATGTTGACACTTACAAGAGATGGCAGCACGTTACAAGTCAGTTACCAAGTCTCAGTGCTGCTATTTCCTTCTGTCTCGTAGGTACACACTGCTGCCAACAGGTGTTCTGCAGATTACAGGAATCCATGAGGAGGACAGTGGAAAGTTCTGCTGTGTGGCCCATAACAGTGCTGGAGTAAAATACAGTGCTAAAGCACTCCTCACTGTTTCAGGTTGATACATTTCACCTCTACATATGATGAGCAGACTTTGTTTTTTGTCACATTAATCTAGTCCTTCACTGTAGATTAACTTAACTTCAAATCTGTGTTGCACACAGGTCACTGCGAATATAATTACTGCATTCTCCTCTGTTTATCTACACAGCTTATTTCTAAGATTGTGCAAACCAATTGTTCCACTGCCTGATCTAATAGATACGACATATCGAGCTAATGCACTCTAGAGAAATCCAATTAAAGGATGCTGTCCATCAGGATCATTCTCATCTTTTGCTCACCTCTCCCTTTTGTTCCAGGCTCCCAGTCATCTGTTTACAAAGAGCCTATGATCCTGGTTGGCCCAGAAAACCTGACCCTCACTGTTCACCAAACCGCTATCTTGGAGTGTGTTGCTACTGGATACCCTCGGCCCATTGTGTCCTGGAGCAGACTAGGTGAGAAAAAAATCCTCAACAGACCAAAGAAAAGGCCCCAGCATGTGCATATACTGTATGTAGCTAGTAGTTTTCAATGTATGCGTTTGAAGATTTACATTTGCATTTGAACATGTAAAGTCTCAGTGTTTTGGGTGGGTCGTATGTTCTTTGTGTTCTTACGTGTTAATACCTTCTTTGCAGCAGAGCTTTGATCCGTCCTGCATTGTGTGATGTATGTGTGTGGACAGAATGCATTTGATTCAGGAGGTCATCTATTGTGTACACATGAGGCAGTACGATTCAGGCTTTAGGGATAAACATAGCATCCAGCTCTGCAGATAAATGCATGCTTCATCTCATGAACCTCCTCTGAAGCACTGGAGAGCCTCTGAGTAATTGCTACAAGGTGCTGCGACAGATACGGATAGCTTCTCCCTCCCTCTGTGAGCATTTTTTGAATATCACTCAAAGTCTGATGTGATCAAATTTTCAATCGTCTATCTGTTTGCTTTTCCTATTATCCACTCTGATTTGCTGTTCCAAATCTAAACTGCTGCTCCTCCCAAGCATTTGGGCATAATCAGATTGAGGTATTGCCTTCCACTGTGTCGGTAGAATGAAATGCTAACACGATGGGATTCGTATGTATTAGATTACGGCTAGGAGGCTGGGATAAACTGCATAATGAATCTGATAGTTTCACATCAGTCACTCCTTAATGCCAGGGTCGGTTTGCTGCTATTCAGTGAACAGCACCACAGCCTGCTAGCTTGTGCTCTTTCTTTTCTGACACTAAGTTAATTAGTGCCTGACAAAGAGAAACCGATGGGGGCAAAGGAGAGGGAACAAAACATAGTTGAAAAAAGGCAAGAAAAGAACAGATGAAAGCCCACTGAACTGTTACTTCACAATCCAGTAAGTTAGTTAGTGATAATAGAAAAATGCATGAATGGCAGCAAAGCATATCATAATGTCAGATGCAGAGCAAAAGCACTTGGTATGCACGTTGGAGTGTTTTATTTCATTTCAATTAATCATCATTTATTAAGAATTGTTTTCTTCATTGTCCATCACCACAAAATTAGATGTTGTCTAAATGAAGCTACAGAATTTCCTACAAAGACTGTAGAGCTCCTATCACAGTTTGGCTTTAGAGCACTGGCTGTCAGTTAAGACGAGCTTCTTGTTTAATGGCTGCTTTGTGAATGGTTGACTTCCCTGAGAAAGAGGTTTGGCATAGGAAATGTGTGTTTGCTGAGATAATTTGCTTTATCCTTTTCTAATCAGCTTCACACTTGATTGTCTTGTTTAATTTCCTGTTTATATATCTATTGTGTATTTGACAGATAACATTTGGCTTACTTTCTAGGTCTATTCCTTTATTTCTACATTTTTTTTGTTTTAATTGCTGTATTTTGTTATTTTGACTTATGTAACAGTCCCACATATGGCTCATTACTTTATTGTCGCTGTTTCAGTCTGCTGACCTTCATAAAGAAAACAGCATTTTTCAGATGATTTATTTTGGTCTTGTCTGTGTTGTTTTACTGCTGTATTGATTACTTGATCATACAAACCTGAAAAAAAAAGATGCCATGTTGTGCGAGAACTTGACATAATATATGTAGTATTGCAAGTAGTTTTTCAAAGAAAGATTTTATTACAAACTGTAATTTAAACTTAAAAAAAGGAAGGAGCTAGAGTTCTCAGAAAGCTGAAGCTGAATTGTGACCATATGGTTTACGTCTGTAGCTGGAGGTCCTGCCTCTGCATGTGTCCAGCATGGTGCCTATCCTCCTGTCTGGCCTTTTAACACATCAAATCTGGACCATAAAGGCTTAAAGGCTGCAGATGGAATTAAAATACCCCCTTGGCCCCATAGCTAATATCAGAGGCAGACTGAAGTCATTGTTGGGGCTGAGACTGCAGATAGGGAGCACAGGAATGTGTGAGCTTATCATGTAATTGCTGCAAGAACTGAAAGGCTTGATGTAAGTGATGGATTGTGTAAGAGCTTTTAGATTAGAAGTTGGAGTTGGAGTTTCTGGTCCCCTAGTGCCTACTGACACATTTTCTGTATCTGACTGTTAAAAGCGTTGGTACAGTGAGACTTATATTTTCAAGATGTCACTCTGACAGTCACCACAGGCGCCCTATGAAAACAGCCCATTACAGCAGGTACATCCCTCACACACACTCGGTGACCTTTCCTTTTCTTACCCTTGCGTTTGTTATTGTGGTACCTTTGTCACAAGACATTACAATTCTGAGAATCACACACTTCAGTGTGAAAGCTCCATCCTTGACCTTTGGGAGGGCCAGTAATAGCACTGCCTCTGTCGACTTGTGGCTGTAAACAAGCAATATCTTTAATTTATCTTTCTTGCTGGTTATTTAAGCCCTTTACATGTGCACACCTGGGACCTGTTTCGCTGCCACATGTGCAGTAAATTCTTGCCTGTCCTTCTCAACTGCTCCTGCTGCTCTTTTTTTCTGAATAGATGGTCGTCCCATTGGTGTGGAGGGAATCCAGGTACTTGGCACAGGGAACCTGATGATCTCTGATGTTGGTGTGCAGCACTCAGGGATCTACGTGTGTGCTGCTAACAAACCAGGGACTCGTCTTCGGAGGACTGCTCAGGGACGTCTGGTGGTCCAAGGTGGGTTCTGGATAAAAGGAATATGCCATTTTTAAAAAATCGGGTAGGTGTTATGGCAGGAAACTCAAAGCACATACAGTAAGGTCAAGCTTGTGAATTGTGTGGGTGGCCCTCTGTGCACCCACCTTAACAACCATATGATAACTTCACCGATTTCCCACAAGACAGCACTTTTGGTTGTGTTTGTTGTAATGTGCAACCCAGCTGGAGACATCTCTGCATATTCCAGAATGATTTTCTTTTCCATGACGGCTAAGTGTGTTGCCCTGCACTTGCTCTTCATGTGGGTAAACTTTCATTTATATCCCTAAATCTGAACTATTGGGTGATGCGCATCAGTCAGACTTAAAAGGTTTTGCATAATTTAACCTGCAGTACATGTCCACTAAAACCTACCTTATCCTTTTGGAACAATTTTCTACCTGTCAGGCAGTAGTTAAATGTTTGGTTCTAGTGCCAGGTGTACTGGGTTGATACTAGGAAGCTTTTCTTTATACCCTCCACTAAGAATACAAAAATAACTTGCTTGTTATTCTAATTATATAGTCCACAGCTGCACTTTATTTGGAATACACATATGCATTTAGCTGAGATTTCAGCCTTAGGCCACAATCACAGGCTCTGTTTGCATTAACTACATAATCATGGGTGTTCTTCCTTGTTTGAAACTTAAGTCTAGGTACTTCTATAAATGTATGTTTCAAAAAGGAATCAGAGGATTATAGCATACAGTATGTCAGTGGTTTGCAGATTTTCAAAAGTGAGAGAATTGTTTTTGTTGCTGTTCTAAAGCCTAGACTGTGGTGCACCTTGTTTTCTGTAGCCGCTGTTCTCACATCAAAAATGTCTTGGTCATGTTCACAACCTTTTAAAGGACAGTATGTTTATTAGCTTTTTTTGGTGTGGTACTTACAGAGGGTGGCTGTGGTTCAGTCGGTAGAGTGGATTGTCTCCTAATCGGAAGCCTGGTGGGTTGATTCATGGCTTACAAATATGTATAAGACCATTTACACACATACCCAGTAAAAAAACCCAAACTCTTTACTGCCATCAAAATTAGCATTAAATTCCTGGATTTGATCTTTTGAGTTCTGTCTCACAGGCCAAGAATATACAAGTAATATCATAAATAAAATGTAACAAACTGACAGTTTGAATATATTTGCATAATATGCATAATGTAAATCCCATAACTGTGCCTTTTTATTTTTTACTCAGTAGCTGTTTTTGAGAAGAAGCCTATAAAAGATGGCTTTGTGGCAGGTTTACGATCAGAGAAAAAGTATCCAAGGCCACCATGATACAAATCCAACTTTGGGAGGTATAATTGCATAGAGACTCAATGTCAAAACAAGGTAAACCAACACAAGTACTATATGGCTTTCATAAAGTCTAGTGAATTTTTAATGTAAGAATAGGATGTTTAATGTTGGAACATAACTGGCAAACAAATACTGTCAATACAGTAAATGCAGTAACGTCATAAAAAATTATAATAAAAGGACTATATTATGACAAACGTGCATGTCCTTAAAGCTGCCCTTTGAAAGTGCTTTTTCAATCTGTAATTATCCCTTTTTGTTGTGTGATATTATTCACTTTGTCCATTCTTCATCATGACTATTGGAGGCAGTACTGTGAAAGTGTTTGGTAGTAGATGAGCGGTCTAGGTGGCCCTGTGTGTTTAAATGTCTGACAAACTGGAAACAACCAGCATCTGCCTCACGTATGGATCCGATGGCCCGTATGTTGCTTCAGCCTATTGCAGTATTGATCCTGATCAATATTTCACATAATCTGCCTGTCAAATAATGCCTTTACCTTAGCTAGAACAAAGAAGATAAGCCATGGATATTGATTACATATCCATGTCTTTGATTTGTGTAATCGATTTGTCGATACAAAGATATGTTACCTGATAGATGTAGGTTAGGACTATTTAATTATAAGAAAAACTAGTACATTTTACTGTATATCCTTAAAGAATTGCTACATATATTATCTAAGTGTAAATGAGCCACTTGACACCTCTGTGAATATCCGAGGGTGTCAGTGGCTATCAATTCAGAAAGAGTTCAGTGATCTGGAACGACAACTCCAATTTAAATTAATCTAAACAACAGCACTTATCATGCACTGATACAGTTAATGAATTAGAAAAAAGAGAAAGAAACAAATAAGAAGAAGCTGAAGTGTGAGAGCAAAAAATGAAAAACAAGAACAAGATGGATGGGAGGTGCTGAAGATCTTACTCACACCCTTACCAGTGTAAATCAATATCTTCTCGGGCTCCCTCTGACCTTCACCTTTAAGAAAGTCCTCAAAGAGAAAGAGAGAGTGAGAGAGAGAAATGAAGGAATCATCACATGCTGTCAGCAGCTTCCTTTCAAGTGTCTAAGGGCTCCTTAGCTTTTCCTGTGCCTCAGCTTGCTTTTTTTTTTCCTGAGATCCATCAAGTTTTTTTTTAATTGAAACAAAGTAACACATTAACAAAACAGTGCCAAACATGTTACATGACATTACAAAAGGATATAGAGTGTTTAACGAGGTTGTAGTGTGTGAAGTGTGGGTATTTCCAACTTATGCAGTCTATGAAATGCAAGAAAGGGAAAAGGAGGGGAAGTAAATACAAAAAATAAAAAATAACAAAATTACCAATAATAATGATGATAACAGTACTATTAAAAAATCAGCTGTAAACAGGGAGTTGATCTGAGGTAGAGTTTTCATTTTGACAGTAGCTATTCGACCGACGAGTGAGAGAGGAAGATTGGACCAGCGTTTGAAATCATTTTCTATCTTTTTTAGCAGGGGGGTGTAGTTGAGATTAAAAAGTTCTGACAGCCTGGGGGCAGATATTAATACCAAAATATTTAATGTTGCCTGTGCAGAACTGGGGGGAGGAGTCTTGAGCTGCAGAATCCCAGGCATCTTCAGAGAGTGGTAGCATGGTGCATTCATTCCAATTTATTGTGTAGTTTGAGATCTTAGAGAATGTGTTAATAATGTGTAACGTTTCCTGTCCTGAGTTGTAGGAGTCCTGTAAATATAACTAGAGAAATGGCTGTCACATGCTGTCAGCAGCTTCCTTTCAAGTGTCTAAGGGCTCCTTAGCTTTTCCTGTGCCTCAGCTTGCATGAGGCATAACATTATAGTGTTACATCATTTGACAAATTCTGCAGTTGTAGTTGTGGATTTTCCATGGGATTCCCTGACAATAATTATGCTTTAAACACAATAAAAAGGAAGATGGGGTCAAAAATAAACACCCAAGCACTGTTTTAGTAAACAAGAGTCACTGTTTAAGAATGAATCACCACATCGATTCAGGCTTCTGTACTCAACAGGACAATAAAATGTGTTTTTTTTTTTACCAGCATCTGTGTTAAAGCTGTAATTTTACAATTTGACTCTGGTTGTTCAGTCCCACTTGGGAATGACAAGTTAAGTGACTGAAATAGAAGGTAGTTTAAACATTAGAGTGCTTTTACAGTATAGCAGGCGATATGAGCTTCCCTCTAGTGATGACTATGAGATATTATAATTACCATAACATTTTTTCCTGGTTAATATGGACATAAATAATTCAGGATATCAAATCACTGGTAACCACTGCGACAATAATGACTGCAGAGGAGATGGTATAATACCACTCTGTCCGCTGGCTCAAATAAAAGCACCGAGTCAAGAATTAAACTCCAACATGTTACTGTAATTAGGCTTTGATTTGAAGTACCTGCTCTTTCATGTATAGTGTTGCTGTTTTAGCCCCAGTAATGCTGATAATGAGAAGGATTATATTGCTTTGCTGTCCTCCTTCCGCTTATTTGCACTCTCTCTTTTATTTCTCTGTGTCTGGACTGTTCTGGTGTTTCTTCTAATCTTGTAAATTGACCATGAATTATAGATACAACAGTATTTATACCGTACTCCTATAATAACGTATACCTTGTCTTTATATTAGATGACAAAATGACTCCTTCCTCTCCTTCTTCAGCTCCAGCAGAGTTTGTTCAACCTCCACAGTCCATTGCCCGGCCTGTCGGCACCACTGCCATCTTCACCTGCCAAGCACAGGGTGAGCCTGAGCCCCAGCTCACCTGGCTGAAGAACGGGCAGATTCTCGAGCCTGGGGGACACGTCAAACTCAGGAACAACAACAGGTAAAAAAAATAGCATTGCCTTTTATTCTTATGTACATGTATTTGTTTATGCAGGAATACCCATAATACCCACAGATTCAGGATGTGGAAAAGTGGAAAAAAGCAACAAAGCAAAGCAAAGGAAAAGTAATTTTAGTAATGCTTATTGTTTTCAATTTTTGTTGACACATTCAGAAGTATTGTTTCTACAAAATGGCCTTTTTTGGAGAGGTCTGCTTGTGACCACTTGTCTCTTTGTTGAGCATTTTTCTTGGTGTCATGGGAATTGTACCGTGCTTATGTCTGACGCATCAGTATATTGTTTATATATACATTCAACATGTATACATGCAACAGGATGGAGACGTGCTACTAGGAGCCACTGATAACTTTTGGTCTGCCAGGTTGTGAAAAGATGGCCCACAAATATTTAGGTATTACCAACATTTATAGATGCAGTATTAGGAAACAAAAATGATAATCATAACCTGGCAATTCCAAATTTGTTCTTATAATTAAAGCATTTAAAACATTAATGAAGCCATTAGTTACAACATATAAACCCTTTATAAAGGGTGACTTAGTGGTACAGTGAAGTTGTTTTTTAAATTTTAATTTGAACATTTCTGACAGCCAATATGTTGGGGATCACATAATGCAAACTGTCACTAACACAACCAGCCATCACTTAGAGCATCCTCTCCCAGCTCACAGAAGTAATATGGATGGCCGTATTAATCAAACTGCCTTGATCTGATCATTGGCGTCATGTTCACTTCTCTGTGTTTCTGTTGCCGCAAATACTGCAGCTGTTGGAATTCTTGCCTGCCATGACATGAGCCTTAATTTATTTGTGCCTTTGTATGTGAGCAGCATATTGACAGGATGCTGGATGCTTTCCGATGGCGGCCCCCAGGAATGTCATACGGAGGAGAACGGAGCAGTTAGAGACAATTAATGCTTTGCGTGTCCACATGTCCGCTAAGGTCGAGTGACGTAATTTTCATCATTTTCCCAGGTCCATGCGGACTCTGTGTCCACGTGCAGGCCTAAAGTTTGTGTCCGTTTGGACGGTCCACACAGCAAAAGCCCCAACTGCGTGTGTGTCACAGTACTTACATTCAATTTGTATGATTACTAACACATGCACACCCCTCATCCGTGTCCAGATGTACATGAGGGTATACGAAAAGCATGAATTCCCCTTTAGTTACCATTGTCAGCACCTCGTGCTGTAAAGGTCGCTTATTGCACCAACTGATTTACTGTTTTATTGTGAATATTGGTTAATTCCATATGTGGTCCTAGATCTGATTCATATGTGATGGGAATTTTTCTTTCAACATCTCATTCCTCTGCACGTATCAAGTGTCATCATCATTCAATGTCTCCCCTCACAGACCGATAACAGTAAATGCGGTGAATTCCAATCACCTTATTTTATTATTCTTCCATTCTTGATTGACTTGGAAGTCATTCCAGTCCACCATGATGAAGGACATCCCAGAGCTCTTATTTCTGCTCTGAGGAGCAAGGAGGCTGCCTGGAAGAGCTATAGCTGAGGAAACATGGGCGGCTCCTTTGTGGAAGTCTGTTACGGATTGACCCGTCCCGCTTGTTTCCTCGGTTCCTCTCGCTTCACATTTTGTCCTTCCATTCTTTATTTGCATTTTATATGGCAAGGACTAAGACACAAGGAAAAGACACAAGTGAGGGAAACATGGATGCAGTGAAGGGAATAGGGATTGACCTATAGAGGAGAGCAATGACAGCGACGGGGGTCAGCTTTACAAAATTATGGCTGATATATGTGTCATGGCCAAGTCTCTTGTCCTCTACTGTTTTTCTGCATGTGGTTTCAAGGCTTTACTTGAACAAGTTAAGGACACAGCCTGTTGCTAATACTGTAGGGTGTGTGATTGTAAGTTGTTATACTCTGTCCATCCAGCCAATGTGTTTTTAGTTAATTCTATTGTGCATTGTGGCACATGGAAAGTTAAATTTTCCCAGTTGACCCTGGCAGTTAACCATCCATGTATGTTGTTATTATTCTTAAAAAATATGTGCCAGGAAAATCAATACCTGCACTCTGTTGCAGGGAGTTAAGGGAGCAGACACTTCCATTGCTCACATGCACTGCTCCACTCCCACTTGCCTCCACCATTCTATATTAGTCAGAGAGATGAAGTGAGGGTCTAACATAGGAGGAAGGAGGAAACAAATGAGAGGCCCGACTTAGATGTAGAAAAAATAGAGAGAAGTGAACGAGTGGTCAAAAGCGAAATGATGAGTTGGCAGGAAGAACAAATGAGAGGGAGAAGGATAGAGCAGGCAGTTAGAGCATCACATTTCTACTTGTCATGTTAGTGTATGACCTGCTATAATAATGATCTTGTGCTTCATAAACCTCATAAACCTCTGATCAGGTCAGCCTGAAATCTGCCATTAGCTAATTAGCTTATAAAGTGAACTAGCTGACCAGGAAGTGCAGTCAGCCGGTTAAAAAACAGCAGCTTCATGTACATCGTAGCAATTTGCACTGTACAGCTGAACAGTGCAGTGAGTACGCAGATAACATTACAGTCCAATTTTATTGCAGTCTCTAGTATAATATCACAAATTACTGAATATGAACAGCAAATCTACCCAGAGACATGAGCCTGTTTCCTCCAAACTGTGTTAATATACCACTCATTTGCTTTGATAAATACATTTTGGAGGAAACTTCATTGCTGTCTGGATTGTATTGTGGTGTTCAGTTTCAACTGCTAAAAAAAGTTCTGATTTGGGTTAAATTTTGGAAAAGTCAGTGTCATCTTAAAGCACATGATGCACTGATCAACATTTAACCACAACAACCTCTTTTAGTAGGGAAAACAATACATTAACTGAATATTTTGCTGATTTGTTCAGTATGAACATTTTTCACCAGTGAACACTTTCCTGATTCCATCAAATTTTCCTTCCTGCACATAATCTGGTGGAACACCCTGAATATTTTATTAGTATATGAACATTTAAAGAACACCGGGTTCATAATGAAGGTGGTGTTGTTTCTAGTGTATTGGAGGCCCTGAAATGATTTAAGAGATATGGCATAGCACCTGAACCAAGCCGTAACAAAAGTAATGATATGCAAATGATATTCAGCAGCTCTGGGCAGTACAATGATCCTGTTCTTATACATACTCTGGCAGGGGAACTTTGTATATACAGTGAGTGCAGCATACATCACAGAGAGACTTTAATTAGTGTGTGTGTGTGTGTGTGTGTGTGTGTTTGTAAAAATACACACACACAGAGGTTTTACCCTTCAGCCGACTCTCATGACATTGACCTTCAAGAGTAAATCGGACTCAGGAAGGTTTGTACATCGATTGTACATTTCATTCATTCACGCACATTAATCAAAAAGCGAGTATGCCTGTATGTGCACAAATAGCGCTGTAGTGCAGACCACCACGCATTTTATACACACACATAGTCAAACTTGAAAATTCACACCTTTGTCATCTGTGCTCAAGCAGAACACACACAGAGAAGACAAAGCTACACGAAACGCTGCCCAAGATGCAGAACTGATTGGCTGCTTGTGTAAACAGATGTAGCTGTGCACGGAGAAGCTGTGCATTTGTTTTCTCTGTCACATTTCAACAGATCATGATGAGCTCAGACACAAACACATACTCATTCATTATCAGCCTTTGCTGACCAGGCTCCTGTAAAACTATTGTGCTATTGTGGCTGTTTAAAATCTCTGTGAGAGCTGCTGCTAATTACAGTATGTGTAAGGACTTGCCTTATATCTCTACAGCTGGCATGTGTAAACATCCAACACGTACAAGCTGTGATCTCACATCAAAGAGGAATAAGCATGAGGTTGAAAACCAAATTGCGTGATACTGTAGCTGCTGATGAGAAAAATTAAATTCTCCCTTGTGGCAAATTAAGATGTAAGTGAAAGATCCTTTTGTTGAATTTACTTTCTCAAAATCATTTAGAAAACATGTTTTACAGTTGTGTGTAAATATTTAAGGTATATAGTAAAGAAAGGAAGATGCTTTAGATGTGTGAGTGCCATGGTGTGTTTTATAATTAATAGCCAACATTCTACACAAACCTGGACATTTTGTGACTTTCAAAGGGTTTCTCACTGTTTTCCAGCCAGACCTGCCTTTCTTGTTTGTGGCCCCTCTCAGTGCCCCACATCCACCCCCATTACACAGAGCTGGGGCCTGGGCATTGGCCTTGAACTCTGACCCTGCCTATAATCAGTCATATCCCTGGGCCCTTCCCTCCTCTCAGGCCACAGACAGCTCACGACTCCTCCCCTCCTCCCCACCTCTTTCTCTTTGTCTCCATTTTTTTCTTTCCCTCTTGTTGGATCCAGAACAGCCAGGCTGGCTTTTGATGGGGTGCTGCTCAGAGACAAGAGAAAGTAAACACAGCCTCAGCAGCTGAACGACAGGCCCAAAACCCCACTGTCAGCCACTCCCCTGGCCCACAGCCTTATCCATCAATCTGTGAAATGACCTTGAACTGATGAGTAAATGATGGTGTCAACCTGTCAAGACAGAACAGCTTGGCTTTGGAGCTCAGGCCGTACGCCTCCCAGATATATTCTTCTCTCCCACTTCTATCCTTTTCTTTCTTCACACATTGTATGGATCCTTGGTGGCCCTGCTCTGCTGTTGCATTTTAATGTAGATCAACCTATTGTAAATCAAATAAATAAATAAATCAAGACCAAACTATCTGAGCAAAGAAAATTCATTTTAAAAAGCTTGTCATTTTGTAATCCTCTTGCGTGGGAATTTTGACCATACTCATCCAGACACAGAACTTTATAAGGATAATCACCTGTATTTGGCCAAGTGTGTTACACACACAAGGAATTTGTTTCCGGTACAGAACCGAGGCAGCCGTTTGCGGTGCCAATTCAACCGATGGCTCTAACCATCGGGGGAAACTTGGGGGTCTTGCCCAAGGACACTTTGACAAAGTGGACTGCAGGCACCGTATTCAAACTGCCAACCCTCCGGTTGGGAGACGACTGCTCTACCCACTGAACCACAGTCACCCCCATTAAATGTATTATTCTATTTTGTAGGCTACTTTTTTCAATAAATAAAGCGAGTACTGTTTGACAATGGAAAGGATTTTCCTGAGCGAACGTGTGTTTTGCTTCTCTCTGTCTTCGATTAATTCAACACAATTGTAATTAAAGGACAATCCAAAGGATTTACCAAAGATAACGTCAAACTTTATATTAAGTCATAGCCAAAAAAAAGTAAGCACAATTCATGTCAAAATACAGTCAAAAACACTTAAATTGCTGCAATCAGTTTAAAAGATAAAGTAGCAAATACGCATGGGTACAAGATGAAATCTTTAATTGTATTCGGTTCTGTTATGTGCCGTTCGCACCAGTCAGTGAGCGAACGAGAAAGAGGCGGACCCAGGTAGCCGACTTCGGTACAAGCAGTGATTTATTATGTACAGTGATGATGAGAGTAACAATACACAGAGGGAAATAGTGCGTAGTCCTGTCAATGAGTAGTAACCGGGTGTTTGACCAACAGCAGGAGGTGAGGAGATGGAGAGCTGGGCCGAGCTGCATAGGCTGGGTCACTCCTGGGCTGGTCGGAGGTGATGGTGGCTACTGAAGGTAGAGACATAGAGATGAAGGCAATAGTAGAACAGATAGGTGACTGAGCATTGACCTGCCTGGGAGGGGAGAGTGGAGCCACGGTCCGGAGGAACAGTCCATGGGGGGGAACACAAAACAGTAGCTGGCAAGGGGATAAATACATACAAAAACAATGACAACGCATGGAGTAAAGTTGGCCTAGAGACTAGAATGAACTGGCAAGTGACTGAGGAGTGAAACCGGGTAATATAGTGAGCAACCTAATCAAGTGCAGCTGGTGATAAGGGAGTGAGGAACAGGTGAACGTGATTAGTGTTAATGGGCAAGAGACGGTAGGAAAGGTGAGGGAGGCTAGAGCGGCCGAGCAAACCTGACAGGATCCTCCAAAACGGTGAAACTGCACAGGCTTTCATCCTGAAAGTTGGAAAGTAAGTTTTGACAGCAGGTGTGGAATTTCATAAGTCAGCAGGATCAGTCCGTGTATATGAATGTGCATACGTGCGGCTGTGCATTATGACGCCTTCTGAAACAAACAGCCTCTTGTGAAATTTCTCCTTTCGTTCCCTCATACACCCAGGGGGCACATCCAGGCCCGGGGGCATCAGGTAGTGTGTCCCTAGGGGCCTCTTTACTGCATCTTGTCCGGCCGCCTATCTGCAAACACTCCATCCATCGTGATATGAAAGGCTGTCAGAAATGGGATGGTTGAGTAGCGATCTGAGGGTTGGAGACTGCTGCCACCTCAGGGGTCAGAGGTGAGATTGGCTCAGAGAGAGTGAAATACAAAGGGCCTCTTTGACCTGGTAATTATCCACATTGAATCCACCTGGCAGACTGGAGAGAATAATGGCTCTTCCACCTCTCAGCCATTTTGACCCAGTTTAAAGACGTTACACTTATTGTATGCCAGCACATACATTTTGAAAAGGAAATTATTCACCCCTCCATCCTTCACACTGACCTAGAGGAGACCTCCTTACTTCTTTCAAATCCATCCTTCCACACCACATTGAGGCTGGTATGAGGTCAGCGTTGTCTGCTGGGAGCTGAAAATGCCACTTTCCTCATGTTCCATTTCACACGTCCAGAAGGTGTCCGATGAGAAGCCGTTTCCACCGCACAAGGTTGACATGTTTTTCTTTCAATAAATTGCATGCTTTTCCTCATGGGATCGCCCTGGCATTTCCTAATAAGTTTAGATTTAATACACTGAGGATCCAACTTGTCTAAGAGCGATGGCAATCTGCTGGACAAGTCCTTCAGACTGCAAGTGAGAGATTAGGGGGATGCTGCAGGATATCTTGAATGCCTGGCACCTTCAATTCCACTGTTTCAATTTCAAGCACGGTATGAGAACCAGAAGCCAGAGGGGTTTCTTCGCCCTGTTTCAGATCTCTAAAACTGCCACAATCAAGGACTACACCATACTGAAGTAAATAAAATTGAAAAAGTTACAACTCAGGCCTGTCCATGTTCTCAAGTTATTCAGTATTTGTGCGTTCTTTATTTTTCTGGCACATATTAAACGTTAAGTAGAAGCAGAAATGACCTTGGCATTAAAATGCCTTCAAGAAATCTTCTGCGCTGCAGGGCCTCATTTCCATAGTATGTTACGTGTTTGTTTTTCCTTTCTTTTTCAGACAAACACAATAAGAGGAGTGCATTATGTACTCTCATCTAATAACACCTACTCAGCATACACACACACACACAAGGCATACACACACAGTGCCCTCCTTACAGTACTCCTTAATCTACGTATAACAGAAGACAAGTCAGGTGGGAGGGAAGACGAAGAAGCAGCGATAGAAAGATGGGGACAAAGGGCGGACTGCCAGAGGTATGATAGACCAGAGTGATGGTAGGAAGAAAGAGAATATAGACGGAAGGCACTGACAAAAATGATTTACTTTGTGTAGGAGGTTGTATGTGTATGCACATAGGTATGTGTGTGCATGGACAGAAGAAAGGTTTTACTGATGTAGGCAAATTCAATTTTTTGACACCCTGAAGTAGATTTATCTACTCCTTTGGGAGTCCTTCGGAGGAATCAGCCTGAAAGTATGTGCTTAGCATGAGTGAGACTCTTCTATACATACTGGTGTCACAGAGGATTTGTTTCTTTTCCTCACACGCGCAGCTGAACACCTAATGCTCTTGGCATACTGTCACATTCATCTTCTTTGCTGTATGCACCTATAGTCGTGTATGTGCATTTATTCAAGTACAAGGTATGTTACGTTTTGGGGACTTAATACATTTCCATTTTACTTCAAAACATCTGAAGCCTGCAGTCACTCCGTAAACAATACCCCAATACTCAGCTTGGTCTGATACCCCTATTTGGGGTATGTCTGCTTACAGGCTTCCACTGTTTTGCATATTTTTTACAACAGGTTTTCCAGCTGTCTGTCTTTATGTTTCAGCTAATCAAAAGGTGTGTAAGACATCTGAATGAGTAAACAATGTTTGATAGGTGGCATTACAACAACATGATAAATTTGTATGGTCGTACCTCAGTGATCATGATGTATTCCTGAACAGCAGGATTCATCTAAGCTACAGAAATCATGACCACTGTCAGCCGGTCAGCATGGTTGTCTGTTGTGTGTATTTTTGTGAAGATGTTGCTTCAGATGCACATTAAAAACGTGTTATTGCTACACAAAATGCTTTATTGTTTCACATTAAAATACCTCTTAAACGTAGGGAATCCTTTGTTTAAATGTAAGGTACAGGTATTATGTTGCTAATAGCACAGGCAGTTCAAAGTGTGAAATTATTAATAAACAGTGTATCAATAATGTAGCACTGTAACATAACAAGTGCTTATACTCCTGCAGAGTTGACCTTTTCCATAAGGACTTTCTCACATACAGTCTTACACAGTCAACTCATGTTCCAAGTTGGTGTTAGAGAAACTGAACTACTGCTTTTTTTCTCGCAGCACTCTGACGATATATGGCATTAGCCAAGATGATGAAGCCATCTATCAGTGTATCGCTGAGAACAGTGCTGGCTCCACACAGGCCAGTGCCCGCCTCACAGTGCTCTGGGCTAACGGACTGCCCGGTGTGCCCACCCATGTGCAGGCCGAGGCCCTCTCACCCACCACCATCCAGGTGTCCTGGATGGAGCCTGATCAGAACACTCAAGACATCATTGGATATGTGGTCCACATCCGCAGGACCTCAGGTGAGGCTGCTCTGAAGATCCAGATAGTTATGTAGAATTACATAAAAATAAGATACAATAAATAACCATTTAAAAGATAAAGCATTGTCACATGAAATCAGTGTCAAAGACTGTGTCAGATGAGATTAGGAGAGGATAAAGAGAGACCAATAAAACCCTGGAGATCACCACAGAATGCAGGATCTCTGTCATTTTAATAAGTCCTAAAATTCAAAAGACCCATTCATTGAAAATTCAAAAATACTTCTGAGTGCAGCTAAATATTTATGTGCTTCAGATGTTAAATCTGAAATTTCAAAATGTATTCACATAGCTACAAACTAGCAATTGTGTGAATATACTGTAACTAATAAATGAAATAAGCTGATACTGAAGGGCTGAAGATACAGCACTGATTGTCACTAAAGGGCCTGTTTCACAAAAGTGTTTTGTGAGCACTTCCTACACATAGATCAAAAATGGTGCCACTTTTACGATGCTACAGTCCTCTCGCAAATGCTCAGTATAATGTAGTGTTTGTGTTGCAAGGAAATGATCTCATGCTGCAGGTCACAGCTTGACTGACCCACCAACCCTATCAACAATCTCAAGTGCCGAGACCATTAATAAATGTACTGTTTTTATCATTCCCAATTACATTTACACTGCATTCATTTTGGAAGTGAAGGATGTTTTGTCCAAAGCCACTTAGAGGAAGTCATTCTAAAGCCAGAGGAACAAGAAGTAGATGTCAGTGAAAATCCCAACGAACAACTAAAAGTCTGTTTACTGTGACATTGAGAGTCCCCACACTCCATTACACAGATGGATATAATAAGGATGATTAAAAACAAAAAAGAAGCCGTTCTTTCTTTTTTCCCTGGGATCCATATGTGGGGCCTACTTCTGTTATGCTCCCTGTGTGTACATGCACGTGCATACTTGTTTATGTACATTCATTGTGTTTGTTTACTTCTTTGGGCACATGAATGTGTGTATGTATATGTGTGTGTGCATGGGTCTGTGTCTCGTAGCGCCAGCTGTTGTTCTCCTCAGTAGTTCTATCACATGGATAATTAAGGGCCCTGGGGCCAACCAATAGGATTTGTCGTAATTACCCTTCCAAGATGGCACGATGCAATAGGTTGGGGGATGGACATAGATAGTGGTTATGGTTGGGTGGCTCTGGATTAAGAGCAATAAATTTCTTTAACACATGCTCTGAAACTCCCATTTTTACCCCCTCCACCTCCTCACACCAGCCTTGCAATTCCCTGTAACCATCATCATTCTGGCTCCTAGGGCCAAACTAGATTAGCTTTTACCTGACAAAGATGCTCTGATAAAAACTGTGAAATTGGCAGTAACCATAAAATAATGGCCAAAACAGATTGTATTTACTGTTTCTTCTCTGCTCTTTTTTCCCATCACTCAACTGCCTGCTCCTCCACCCATCCCGGTTTTGTTTCCTCATTTTTGCCTTTCGTCTTTCCTGCCCTCACTTCCTCTTTCTGTTTCTGTACTTCCTCTATTTTTCCTCCTTCAGACCCAGGGGAGATGGAGTATGAGGAGGCCGTCAGTAAGGTGACGCTGCAGCAGATCATCAGGGATCTGGTGCCTTCCACCAGTTACACTTTCTACGTCAAGGCCTACACGTCCCATGGGGCCAGCAAACCATCGGACGCCGTTACGGAGAGCACACATGGGGAGGGTGAGCAGAACACGCACTCACGCACAAAACGTATCTATTACCAATGAACAAAAATATATGGAGATATGCAAAAAGGCTGCATATTTGTAAAGCTTGCTGAGTATGAAAAAATACAAGATTGTAAGTTTATTCCAGAGCAACCATAACAGGTGGATAACTTTCAGTCAGCTATTATATTACTCTGCCTTTAGGCTATGCCTGCCTTTGGACTGTCTTTTTATTGCATTCTTGTTTGTGTGAAATCATGCATTTACTGTATGGTACATGTTATTGCACCAAGTGTCATAATTCTTTCTCCAAAGATGCAAAATAAAAGCTCTCCTGTCAACTATAAGGTGCTGCTACAGTCCTATTGTTGTACCTGTATTATATGTATGTGTATTCTGCCGCAGTGCCAGGGCCTCCCTCCCTTTACACCAAGGTGGTGAACAGCAGCATTGTGCAAGCAGCATGGGAGCCTTCCTTTAAGATGGGCCAACATCAAGGCTTCAGACTGTATTACAGAAGAGCCCACACACCCCAGTTCACTGGTCCCATCACCTTCCCTCGCAACATCACCCAGTACAACATCACTCAGCTGGGTGAGACATTTAGGACTACAACTGATTGTGTTATAGTAAGCATTTGTTGTGTTTTGTAATGGGAAGCGCTGTCTCTGTGATCATAATTGTCATTGTAGTCTTCATTATGGATCTGGGCCCATAAACAAACACCTCAGAATTCCTCTTTGGAAATAAATTTCAGTCCTTGCTCAGAGAAGGAGAAGTGTTATTTATGAAGCTTTAAATTTTGGCAGAAATGTTTTCCCAGATTGACAAAGTTGACTAAATGGATTTTTCCTAGGGTTAAAATAAACAATAACATCACTCTGTCTAGTTAGGACTGATCTTTCGTTCATTATTTGAATATCTTATTCTGTCTCTTCTTTTGTTCAGATCCTGCACACGTCTATGAGATAAAGCTCCTTGCATACAACCAACACGGAGATGGGAATGCCACTGTTCGATTTGTTTCACTTCAGGAAGCAGTAGAGAAATCAGGTGATTGTCTGACACAAACACAGCCACACACAGCTCCAGACTGTCCCCGTCACCCCGGTGCAATAAAGTTTAATGCATCAAGCTGAGTCACGTCATTTATGTTTTAGCAAAGTCAAGCTGATTGTTCATGCCCCAGACTGAGAGATACAGACCATGGCCAGCTCCCTGACATTGCCAGGTTTAAACAAATCTTAGTGGCACTGTGACTGTGAAGTGCGCTGTGTCTCCTCAGTGCTGGACACATCGTGTGACTGTGTGAAAGATCAACAGAGCAAAACATCCACTACAGGCATCATAATCGGCATTCACATTGGAGTCACCTGCATCATCTTCTGTGTCCTCTTCCTCGCCTTCAGCTACCGCGGCAGGTCAGTACAAACATGATGTATAAATCCCCAATAGTGAGAATAATTGTTGTCGAGGGTTAATGTTGGTCTATCATGTACATGCAGCTGACGGGCGTGTTATTTGTGTGTGTGCATGTTGTGTAATCTCCAGGTTAATGATGTGTAAGACAGTTCAGGCCACCCCCCAAGTTGGGCACAGTGCAGTGCTGGAGTCCTCCTCTTCTTCTCAGGGGTCCTCTGGGCTGAACAGGTCTACAGCGAGGAACATTGAGGTCAACGGCAGCACAGCAGGGAAGAAAGCTGTCGACGGCAACGAGCTCGAGAGACTTTTCACTCAGTCTAATAGACAAGAAACTTGCATAGTGAGTCCTGATAGTGAGAGCACTGGCTCCGCATTACACAAAAAAATAATGTAGTTAAAATATAAAAAGAAAAAAGTTTTTTAATACTTCTGTTAGATTTGTGTAACTGCAGGTATCAGTTCTGTCAGTAGAGGGAAATTACAATGCAAACTGTCCTTTGAAAACATCCAGCACTGTTCTGATTGATTGTTGCCTGTCTGATCACTCATGTTTCTTTCCGCACTAAACCTGGGCTTAGCAAAATCGCTGCATTCTGATTTCTCACAAGTTACTTGCTTCATAATTGGAAAAATTGAACTGATGACTGCAGCTGTGAAAAGTAAAGCCCAACCCATAATCAAGTGTAATTTACCTTTAAATCGATTTCACTCAATCATGCTCAGTCACTCCAGTTTCCAGTTAAATGTACTCTCTGCCTAACTCTGTTTAATTACCATCATTTCCGTGTGCTTTCAGTCTGATTCCTACATGTTAGATGACACTCAGCTGTCCACAATACCACTGGACGAGGTTGTGGTGGAACAGGACACAGAGACACAGTTCCTGGAGCCTCCTGCATCAGAGGTGTGTCGGCAGGACCAAGGTTAATCATGTATGAAGGCCAGTTCACACGATACTGTCCACTTAGACTCTTCTTCTCACTCAGGTTGGAAAGTGTTTTCTTACAAAGTAGTTTCTCCTTTGTGCAAAGATTTGTTTGTTTTTTATTGGTAAGTTAAGAGGTTCTAGAGGAACTAGGACTGTATATCAGAGTGTTTTGGCTTGGGGTTGGAGAGCCCTCTTCTGATGTATGGCTCTTTCTAGCTAGGCATGCTGGGTAAATACTCTTTATTTTTACAATTTAGTCTTTTATTTTATGGTGTTGGGCAGCACACAGAATAGAGGCCCCAAAATGTCCTTGTTGTACAATGACGATTTATTTTTAAGTTTATAAATATATGCATATATATATATTTATATATATATATATATATATATACATATATATATA